GTCACTTTCTTCTTGTGGCGCCGTATAAGTGTAGAACTCTTTTTGATATTCTGTTTGGACTGGAGCAGGAGGAACTGGGGCAGGAGCCGAAGTTAGTTGAGTTGTTGCAATATTGCGAGTGGCTGCAACTGGAGCTTGTTGAGCTGCTGATAATGGTAAAATACTATGGCGAGCGGCAATACTACCGGGTGTGAAGGATAGGCCCTCCTCAGAATGCGGCACTGGTTGATAGTTGTAGCCTAGTTTATCGGCAAAAGCTGTGGCCAGCAAGCAAAGCGCCTGGAAATTTGATAATATTTCTTAAATATAACAATCCTAGTATTTGAATATAAATGAAAGTTTATGAAGAAGATATGATAGGGTATTAATAATGTATTATCTCCATTTTAGCTTTAATTATTTCTAAATTTGAAATTTCATTGTAGTTGTTAACGGATAGCAGCTCTTGTCACCGATAGATCACAGAAAAGATTTGAGATCAGAGTCAGCCTTTCTGCTAATATACTCTGATATTCGCGGGTTTTCCACTTTACTTACTTTCCATTCTGATTTCTAGTTAATGTAATATATAAGTATTTATAATATAAAATGTCTGTTCCAAATCCATCTGTATTCCACTCGGCTATGCAGCTCTTGTTAAATGTAGATTCAAGCATTTTGGCGGCTTTTTTTTGGAACTCGCAGCACACATTTGGTTTGGTTTCTTCGAGAAGAGCACTTCAAACAGTCACCTCATCAAACTTAAAAAATATTTGCAATTAAAAACTATAAAAAATTTTATCCAAGGTAGCCCTGTGAAGAGTTATCAATTGTACTAATTTTTATTAAAAAAGTTATTTAGTATATAAGCTTCTTTAGATTCTTCAATTACAATTCTTTCGAATTTTCGAAAATTCTTTTAATCGACTTAAATTATTTTGTAAATATCTTTTAACACTTACAATGAAGCTTCTCATGTTTGTTATACTTTTTTCGGCTTTCCGCGTGCTACTTTCAACACTAGTTGTTGAGACTTGAGCCCACAAAGGAAATCTGTTGGTTCTACAACGTCTGCAGTGCTTTTATATATGTACATAAATGCGAAGTTTGCTTGCACACTCCCAAAGACACATGTGACATATATAAGTAGTCTGTAATCAAATTGCGTAATCCCAACCTTACAACAATAACAATAAAATTTTTTACTCTTAAATATATAAGTATGTAATACACACAAGCCACCAGCAGTCTTTTGCTACCCAATTTCAAGTTCAATCAAGTTCAAAAATAAAAACATCGTCTAATTGAATTAGTCAATATGCACGAAGAAGAAATATGTGGCAGCCTTAAACCCATATCATCTGGTTGTACAGCTGCACATATCTATGTAAGTAAAGCCAGAGAGAGGAAACAAGTTTAAATTTAAATGTGAACCCTTATCGGATGATGCCGTCAACAGATACCTGAGACCGTGTTTACGAATAATATATATATGTGTATGTGTTGGTATATGGGAAAATATTTCCACATACATATGTGTGTGCGCTTGGCTGTGTAAAAGGCGGTTAAGCCAAGCCAACAAGGCAAGTGACCCTAACTAAAGTACGGGCATTTGCTTGTTATCATCTCTGCCATGTGGTCCCCTACATTAAAATCGTCGTTTAATAATTTGTTTTTGTTTTTCAAAGTTGATTTAATTTAAATTAGCTGCCTTTGGCTGCAATACTTATTGCACCAAGACACACCACAGCACACCTGTACAAAATTGTGTCGCCTACGAGCTAGCAATATACGACATAAAGTTTTTCTTAGTTTTTGGTGTTTTCTTGTTGTTTTTGTTGTTGTCGATATTTGCTTCAATGCTGTCGATTTGTTATCGGCATTACCATATTTTTCCAAGCGCTGACTCTGCTGTTCCATTCAATGAATGCCCTTCAGCCAGCTCGCCATTTATGCGTGTGATTTTATTTTAATGCATTTTAAGGTTATAAATATGCATTAGTTTGTGCAGTGCTTCAGCCGTTGCTCTCTTGGCTTATTTCCATACCGCAGACATAAAAGGCTTGCGGCAGCGCTAAACCAATGTATGCATAAACACCCTGTAGGGAGTGGAGTGTGAAGCGATGCATCAACATGTTTGTATATTAATGAAGTGAGGACACTAAAATTGCGTTATATGCATATATATTAGTATTTACTTCAAATAATAAAAAAATAAAATAAATTGTTTTCATTTATGTTTTTTGGGTTCAACGAGGTGTAATTTTCACAGCATATAGTAAACATATAAAAGATTTAGTTTCGTAAAAAGAAATCAATTATTTTTGCATAAAATTAAAGACTTTATTTAGCTTAGTTAGAATGATCGGACTCAGTTTAAAAATGGACCGTTCTTTTCTATATAACCTATTGTTATATAGAAGCTAATTTCATTATGCGACACTCAAAGCCGCGTATCCACTGGCAAAAACTGTGACACTTGATTTTCACTTACTTATCAATCGTCATAGATAGGAACGGTAGTAATTGCTTGATAACAGACGAAGCACTATACGGTGGATGCATAAGAACGTCCCAATCAAGCTCCTGAAGGTTCTGACGAGTTAATATGTATGTATTTGGCCTAAAGTTGTCCTGATAAAACACAATTCCTCTGCTATCCAGCGGCCAAAGTGGACCGCTTCTGAGCATTTGCTTCTTTCAGACGGTTCAATTGTTGACAATAGAGTTCCGATTTAGGAGTTAGGTCGTAGTAGAGCAGCTCTTAGTAGATTGGACTTGCATAAAGCTGCACTCATATAACTCGTGAACTTTTCATGCCAAAAACATGTTCAAAGATTTGCCAACACACTTCAGGTGGTCGATCTCGATGGGTTTCTTGGTATTATGGCAGCAAAAAACCAAACATAAGTTATTGTTAATTCATAAGACTTCGGCAATTGCATTAAGAAGCTAGTAAAGTTATATAGAACATCACATTATGCCAGCAAAAAAATATATACCCTCTTAAGTTGATTTAGATGACATTATTTTAGCAACAAATCAGCATACATGTATATAAAAACTACAATATTTTATTCGTAACCACATTTATATATGCATCTACATATATACTAACATTTATACTTTGTACACAATGTTCTTAACTAATAAAGTTTCAAACAAATTTTTCTTCACCTCTTTA